AAAAAAAAAAATATATATATATACATATATATAAAAGAATACTGGTTAAAAGCTAAATCTGAGTATTTAGAAACTTATTTGTAAAGAAGTTTCTCAGTTATGACAATATGTTTATTAAGTGTTGTAAAGACTCAGCATTAGATAAACCTATGTTACTCAAATAGACAAATCAAAATTATCTTTCAGAGCCTAATGTAAATAATGCTAGAGTTTTAGATATTAACCCTTCTCCATGATTAATTTATTCATCCTTCAGATTTGTATTGAGAAGTTATCATTTGCCAGCTCTGTTCTGGGCATTGGGGAAAGGAGATACATTGGTGATAGACAAGTCCCTGTCCTCATGGAGCTTGCATTCTAAAAATGGGGAAGGAAGAATCAGACTATAAACAAAGCTACTTTTCGATTGTGATAGGTGCTATGATGGAAATACCCAAGGCTATGGCATGCCTTAGGGCAGTGGACATGAGAGCGGTGGAACTAATTTAGATAGGTTTTTAAAATGTAATACAAGTTAGACAAATTTATAAATCATTACATTCTGAAATGAGTCCATCTTTAAGTCTCAGGCTTAAATTATTCAACCATGTTCAACTGTGAGGGGGGAACTTCAGTGTACTGACTTTCAAATTGTACTTTGCCTTTAGAACTTTATGAGCAAAAATATTGGAGGCATGGGGAATGCATTGTATATTCTGCATTCTTTTCCTACCATACCTTCACAAATAAGCCCTTGTACAGCCAAAGTGAATCAGAGCTCCTCAAGTCCTGTTGGCTTGTGATGATTTTCTTTTTTTTCGTTGAGTGGTCCTCCATAGTGATGATGAGGTTGCATGTCCTATTACATATCTTCCATTCCTAAGGGATAAAATTAGAGTGATGATTCATGTAACTAGATGGCCAGACCCTTTCCTGCCACAGCTCCTTTTGAGAGTTCTTTTAGCATAAGCTGCTCGGCCTGTGACCCTGAAACAGATATGGATTCTAAATCATAAAGCAGTTATCATATTCTGCTCAGTGGCTATGAGGTGGCTAGGACTCTGCACAGTTCCATACTACATAAAGACTGGCTAAACCAATCAGACCTTTTCTTGTTGGAAGTTTGAACTTTATTCTTAGTTGAAAAGAAGACTTCTAGCCCTGTAACTCTTAGTTTCTTTTAATAGGTCAAGTAAAAAAAATGTCTTCTTAATGACAGAGCTTCATGATATACAAAGTAAAAATGCACAGAAGAGAAATAGACAAATCCACAATCATATTTGGGGGTTTCAACAGCCTTTTCTTTCTTTCTTTCTTTCTTTTTTCTATATTCTCAGTTTTTCCTCTTTTGCCGATTCCTCTTTTTTAAATATATTTTATTGATTTTTTACAGAGAGGAAGGGAGAGAGATAGAGAGCTAGAAACGTCGATGAGAGAGAAACATTGATCAGCTGCCTCTTGCACACCCCCTACCGGGGATGTGCCCTCAACCAAGGTACATGCCCTTGACCAGAATCGAACCCGGGATCTTTCAGTCCGTGGACCGACGCTCTACCACTGAGCCAAACAGGTTTCGGCTCACCAGCCTTTCAAAGTAATCGGCAAAAGAGGAAAAACTGAGAATATAGAAGATCTGAACAACACTATGAACCAACTTGACCTAATTGACATTTATAGAATGCTATCCTCAGTAATGACAGAACACACATTCTTTTCAGATGTACATGCAGTGTTCACCAATATAGACCATATACTGAGTCATAAAACATCTTTAATTTCAAATGATGGAAATATTATAGAGTATTGATTCTCTTCCCTCACCTGGAGTTCAGGTTTTTTAAAAAGAAGGATGAATAGGGGTTGGGTTGAGGTCTCCCAGTTCTTAAAGGGAAATCAAAAGCCAAACCCACATGTCTAAATAGGCTGGGGGAATTTTAGGCAGAGGAGAGAGTTAAACTTTTATGGCTCTATCAGATATTGGCACTCAAGTCATCATCCTACCTTATTCTGTGGGAGGATAGGGTGTTCAGATGCAACTGATGGCATTTGGGCAAGGTTTGTAGTGATAGAGGAAAGGCAATGTAACATTTTTGGGGGTGGAGCTTTGTTGCATACTGTTGTGGTTTCCATTGCTAAGGTATAATTGATATTGATTTTATTTTTGTATTTAAAAATGTATTTTTATTGATTTCAGTGAGAAAGGGAGAGGGAGAGAGAGAGATAGAAACATCAATGATGAGAGAGAATCGTTGATTGGTTGCCTCCTGCACAGCCCCACATTGAGCCAGGAACCGTGACCTCTTGGTTCATAGGTTGACGATTAACCACTGAACCACACCAGCCAGGCTTACATGCCTGTATTGTAAATGTCCGTAAGTGCCAGAGTAGATCCTCTTGATTAGGAAGAGCCATATGTAGAAAAGTGCTAGTGCTTTGGAGTCCCAAAACCCTGGTGATTCTTTTGAACTACAAATTATTGTGACTGATGATTTTACAGTATATGTAAAGAACTCATCTAACTAAAAAAAGAAGCCTAAAAAACAATAGTATTTTAAGAATGGCAAAAGATTTTTACAGGCAATTTTCAAAAGAAAAGATACCAATAGGTAATACGCATATGAAAATATGCTCAACATCATTAGTCATCTGGGAATTAAATTAAAACCACAAAGAAATATCACTTCATACCGACTAGAATGGCTAACATTGTAAAGACTGACTACCAATTGTTGGTGACGATATGGAACAGCTGTAACTTGTACATTTCTGGTGGGTGTATAAAATGGTACAACCAAATTGGAAAATTGGCAGTTTCATGCAAAGTTTAAAATAAACTTACCTTATGATCTGGCAAGTTAATTTCTAGGTATTATTCAAAATAAAAGAAAATATGCATACGTAAAAAATTTGATCTTGAGTGTTCATAGCAGAATTATTCATAAGAGTCAAACTGGAAACAATCCTAATGTCCATCAGTTTGTGAATGGATAAACAAATCATGGTAGATTCTTACAAGGGAATATTATTCAACAGTAAAAATGGACAGAACAAAGTGCAAGAGTAAAGATAAATCCCAACATGCTAAGAGGGAAGAGCTCATACCATATGATTTCCTTTATGTCATGAGTACATAACAGGTGATTCCATTTATGTGCACTTCTAGAATGAGCAATAAAGCAGAACTAATCTACAGTGGCAGAATAGATCAGTGATTGTATAGGGTGATTGACTGTAAAGGAGTAGACTTATTTTTGCCCATTTAAAAATACCAATGGTAAAACTTCAAGGCAATATAATTTTGTGATTAAAATTATGAACTTTGAACTTTGTTATCATAAAACATATCCTGAGTTTGAGTCCTGGCTCTTCCATTTACTAGCTTATGTGACTTTGGACAAATTATTTAACTTAAGTTTCTTCATCTGGAAAATGGGGGTGGTATTGTTACCATCTCAGAGTTGTTATGAGGGTAAATCAAATGCCCTCATTATTGTTTGATAGTAAGTGCTCAATAAAGATGACTAATTTGGACAGTATTAATATTTATCAATGTTAATAATTATAACTTGTAACTCATGCCTGTTACTCTTAATCTTGGAATGGGTATTGCATTTTTATATTAAAAAAGGAAGAATTATTTATTAGATTCCTATGAATCTTTGATATTTATGAGCAATAACTTGTTGCTATTTAGTCAGTCATAAACATGATGTACTTTCTTTAAATGAAGATAAGTGATTCTTTTAAAAAAATATATATTTTATTGATTTTTCACAGAGAGGAAGAGAGAGGGATTGAGAGTTAGAAACATCGATGAGAGAGAAACATAGATCATCTGCCTCTTGCACACTCCCCACCGGGGATGTGCCCGCAATGAAGTACATGCCCTTGACCGGAATCGAACCCAGGACCTTTCAGTCTGCAGGCCGATGCTCTATCCACTGAGCCAAATCGGTTTCAGCAATAACTGATTCTTTTATTGGGAGTTTTGCACTACCTTTGACTAAAAGCATAATAGTTCTGATTTGTTCATAACCTGCTTTATTATTATTAACATTTTGTTTCTTTAGAGGGACTGGCTGTATAATTATCAAATGATGCCATTTTTGATATTTTAAATGACTGAGATTTGAGAATCTTTTTCCCAAATAAGGTTTTCTTTCATATATATATATTATTGATTTTTTACAGAGAGGAATAGAGAATTAGAAACATCGATGAGAGAGAAACATCCATCAGCTGCTTCTTGCACACGGCCCACTGGGGATGTGCCCGCAACCAAGGGACATGCCCTTGACCGGAATCGAACCCGGGACCCCTCAGTCCACAGGCCGATGCTCCATCCATTGAACCAAACTAGTTTCGGCCCAAATAAGGTTTTCTTTGGTATCAAGCTAATTAATTGATCAAACTTGGGCCAAATAAGCCTTTTGATCTTTAGTTGCTGAGATGGATTACTCTAAAAACTCGTAACATTAATTTAAATATTTAATGGAATTTAGAAATGGTATAAATGCCATAATTTTAGGATCTAGCTCACTGGAGATTTGAAGATATGTTTCCAATATCTGTTTACATTTTAAAATCTTTATTTCTTTGTGTGCTTCAGCAGTTTTTAAGTCTGACAATAGGAAAAAAAATGGGAAGAAATAAGATGATCATCGGACATGTCAAAGATTTAAAGTTTTATGAGTGGTCATTGGAAAGGAGTTTCCTATAATTATGTGACTTAGTGTTGCCTAAGTGCAGTATACTTTTGAATTGCAACATGGTGAATGAGAATGTTGGCTTCTAGTTTTGTGTCTCATATGAATTATATTTCAGATATTTGAAAGTTGAGGATAAAGTATGTTAAAATGGTTTAACTCAAATCCACATAAGGAATATCCTTTATTCAATTATACACCAATAAAAAATGTCATTTAAAATTTTGTTACTTGTATTTTTCTCAAATAATTTTGTTCTTGTCTAAAAACTATTTTGAACCCTAGTAATTTTTTATTTTTCAACTTTTATTGCAGTGCCTGATCATCTTTCTAGCAGGAGAACGATCATGGAGGTGGTGCCAGCTGAGGTGAATAGCTTGCTTCCAGAGGAGATAATGGACACTGGTATAACTTTAGTGGATGATGATAGTATTGAGGCTGTTATTGTTTCATCCCCAATTCCCATGGAGACAGAACTGGAAGAAATTGTCAACATAAATTCTACTGGTGACTCTACAGCCACGCCCATTTCCACGGAACCAATCACAGTGTACAGTAACCACACTAACCAAGTTGCAGTGAATACCACAATTACTAAAGCAGATTCTAATACCACAGTGAAACCAGCTTTTCCAAGTGGCCTTCAAAAACTTGGTGCTCAGACTCCTGTGACTATATCTGCCAATCAGATTATTTTAAACAAAGTATCACAGACATCTGATCTTAAACTTGGCAATCAGACCCTTAAACCAGATGGACAGAAGTTAATTTTAACAACTTTGGGCAAGTCTGGTTCACCAATTGTTTTAGCACTACCCCATAGCCAACTACCCCAGGCTCAGAAAGTTACAACTCAGGCCCAGTCAGGAGATGCTAAGTTACCACCGCAGCAAATTAAAGTAGTTACCATTGGAGGGAGGCCAGAGGTGAAACCTGTCATTGGTGTCTCAGCATTGACCCCAGGAAATCAACTGATTAATACTACAACTCAGCCCTCTGTGTTACAGACCCAACAGTTAAAAACAGTACAGGTAAAAAAGGGGGCTTATGAACTAAAATGCATGTTAAAAATTAAGTTGATTGGTAGTTGTGTTTGTAGGGTAATTAAATGCTTAGCTGTTACTGAATTCTTTTGAATGTTGTTTGGTAATTGTGTGTGGGTATTGCATTTTTTTTCCTGGTAAAGTTTGGTATGTCTAATCCTTTGGATATTTTTGCTAGAGAACTTAGAGTAAACAATTTTGGTTAAATTCCAGATGAGTGTACTTATAGCTTTTACTCATTTTTAAATGCATTTATTCTTTGTAATAGTTTAATTACAAGGATGTTCTGCTAGTATAAAAATGCCACAATTGCTGATAGACTGTCAAAAAATCATTCAGATACAATTTTTTTCAGTTAACAGATGGTCAAAGTCTAGGAAAACTTGCTGCTCTAAGAAACCCTTCGAGCCAGAAGTAGTACATACTAGCCAATGTGTGCCTTTCTTTGGTGTTTACTGTCCGTCTTCATCACTCATGTTTACATTTTGGAAAAGGTAGTGCCATGTGATGGAGGTAACACATAGGCTTTAGAGTTGGACCAACTAGATTTAAGTTACCTCTCTGCTACCCTAACATCTGTGGAACTTTGGATAAGTTACTTCTCGTCTCTGAGTTTTTTACTTTAGCTGGAAGATGGTTATTTGAACATGATGAAAGTACTTTTTGTTCTCAAAACTTTTGAGGATTCTTCAAAATGGTACTTATTATCAGTAGGAAAAGGACCTTAACAGAGAAGGTTAACAGCACATTTGTTAAATGGCTTCCCATTTTTCATGCCCAAGTAGGCCTTTTTTGGTCACCACTACTCTTAGAAATGCAAAGATCCACTTAAGTCCAGGGAACACGAATAAATTCCCTATTTGAAAGAATTGCCTTTTACAAAAAAGAAGGCAGGAGTTAGAGAACTAAAGCAGGTGTATAAAGAAACATGAAGGTTTGGGGAACTATCTACTCTTAGCTGATATTAGAAATAAGGTTTGGTTATTATGACATGGGCTTTTTATTTAAGAATTACTTTGTAAGATTTCTCAAAGCTTGTAATTTGCCCATGTCCCTTCTAGCACTTTGGAATATTGTGTTCTTTTCTTTTTTGTTCATTGTCATCTCACTTATCTCTGACTTCTTTTACTTATTTTGATGAAGGTCTCTTAAATGAGTTATTACCATCTAGCATCTTGTCCTAACTTTTTAAAAAATCAGTTTTGAAACTTGTTTTTTATTGGGGATGTGGCTCATAATCATTTCACAAGAAACTGATAATGTAAAAGTAGAATGCTTTTTTTTTTTTCATTTATAAGAGCAATGTATACATATTGTTTTAATGACCAATTTACTTGTATTCACTAGTTTTTTACTATAATCACCTAAGTACTGACAATAAAAACAAAGACTGGGAACTAATTTTTACAACTTCTTTTATTGTTGTTACTTTTATAAACCATGATTCTGTTTATGAAAAAGAACTTTGGTTTTAAAAAAAACACACACCATATAACAAAAACAAAAGAAACTCTGTTTAGGATATTACTCTACTTGTCCAGCAATTTTTAGGCAACCCAAGTCCTTCTAACTCAAAAGTAACCTACAAAGCTCTGAAACACAGAAAAAGCAAGTAAGCTACACATCTATATGTTTCCTTCTTAGGCACCAAAATATTTGGTTTATTATTACACGGTGTATATGATTCTTTGTTTTTTTCCCAGAGAGTCCTCAGCGTTGTCTTAAGTTTAATGAGTATTGGAACTGTTAGGGTATGGACAGCAGGTAGGGTGGAAGAAGGAGACCCATCTTGAAAAATGAAGGGAAGAGGTGACAGTTGAGGCCAGAGGCAGTAACTAAGAGGTATAGTCACACTTAATTGCAGATATATAAACACTTTCCCATGTTTCATATGCATAGTATAATAAGAGAAATAAATAGCTAGCAGTATGAAACAGCATTATTCCAAACTGGTTCCTATACCTATACAACACAGTGCCAAAAATTACCTGCATATATTATTTGATTAGATATTTGGCTATTTTATTTGTAAATTTCCTTTTTGATTCATTTTTGTCTTAATCTGCTGATTGGATACATTTGATATAAATGATCCTTTATGTTGTTGTTTTTTTTTACTTAATAAAGTAATTTTGTTCTGGGGTAGTTTATAGAATTCATAATATAAAAATTATGGTTCCTTAACTGAACTGGAAATCATTATTTTTCAGCAAAGCTCCATTAAAAAACATAACTAGAGGGCAAGTTGAGATTGTTCATTTGATAAATTATTGTGCTTTTGGTTGTGTTGTTTAGTGTTGTTTTTTTTTATTGGTAAGTATTCATATAGTCAGATGATTGTGAAAGTCAGTTAAAAATACGTAAATACTTTTAAGTTCCTAATCTTTATAGATAAGATTATTTTGAGCATAGATTTTAAAAATATCAATACTTCTACCTCTTGAGATTATTAACACTAAGTCAATAGATGACATATTCTGACTTACTTTAGAGTTTTAAGCTTATAAACACATTTGAGGAAAATATCTCCTGTATGTCTCCCAAATTGAATCGGTGTTTTTTAAAGTACAATTATGAATTTATTTGAGTATATTAGAGTTTTGCAAGTTGGGTATTTTTTTTTAATATATATTTTATTGGTTTTTTACAGAGAGGAAGAGAGAGATAGAGAGTTAGAAACATCGATGAGAGAGAAACATCAATCAGCTGCCTCTTGCACACCTCCCACCAGGGTTGTGCCCGCAGCCAAGGTACATGCCCTTGACCAGAATTTAATCTGGGACCCTTCAGGCCGCAGGCTGACGCTCTATCCACTGAGCCAAACCGGTTAGGGCAAGTTGGGTATTTTTAATGTAGTAATTGATCCGATGTTTTTTAAGAAAGTGATTTATATTTCATTTTGTCAGTAATATGTTCTCAGTGTAAGAAAGTAATATGTCAGTAACATGTTCTAAGTGTAACAAAAGGTTTTAGTTTAATTTATAGTTTGATCACAAGCTGGTATTTAGTTCAGCTTCTGGTATATTTCTGTCATTGAAGTTGGTCATGTTTATTTATTTTGAGTCATTATTTCCAATAATAAAAAATTCTTACAAGACCTCAATTTTCATATCTGCCCAAAGATAAAATTAATATTTAATTCCCTTCCTGCTCTAAAAGTTTTATTAGATCTAAGTTTCTGCTTCTAACTTTTAGAAGAAGCTATGTCTTTGCAAACATTGATAATTTCAATATAAAAACATTGGTAATTCTACCTTGTTTGACTTGTGAAGAATTTTAGTTCATGTTAACAGTGTGCCATATATAACCTAAGATCAAAGATGAATAAAATGGTCTCTCTTCAAGGAACAGTATCTTATGACAGTAAATAATATTTGAGTGGTTTTGCCTTTAGAATAGTCTTTGTTTTGCCCAAGATGTCTCCTTGTATCCAAGGGCATTAACTTATTCAGTTCTTCATTTATCTACTCCTGATATATAGATCTAAAGCTGAACATCTAATCATAAGCACATCTTTAATGTGTATTTATATTTTGTTTCCACGGGTCAATATTTATAGGTGGTTTCATTATTTACATTATTCTCTCTTACTTTGCTCCATCTTTTTATTATTGAATGATTTGTTCTTTTGAAAAGAATATTGCTATGTCATAGTGTTTTCTTATTAAATGTTAAGTAAACTTATTAAACATTATTTTAAAATATTAATTTGTTTTTCATCATATATCTATATCCCAGAGATTGAAATAAGGATTTACAATGAAATGCAAATGTATTACTATATTTTAGCCTAAGGGTGTTGTAATAATATTTAATTAATGGCTACATTATAAGTTTTTTAACATTAATACATAGATATATTTTGTTAAATGAACTGGCTTCATGTGTACTTCTGAATACCAATCTTTTGTTTAATTGTGATTGCAAAGGTGTTTTATAGAAACAAATGGTCTTCATAGTTATTTATATATTTCAGATTGCTAAGAAGCCTCGAACACCAACCTCTGGTCCAGTAATCACGAAGCTGATCTTTGCAAAACCAATTAATAGTAAAGCAGTTACAGGACAGACAACTCAAGTATCACCACCAGTCATTGCAGGTTATATTTCTTTATAGTTTATTAAGCTATATATTTATATTTTATGTTTATAAAAGGCTGTTCTGCCACCTTGAAATGTATTAGTGAAATAACATTTTATAAGCCAAACTTGTTAATAAGAAATGTTTCACTTATTAAATGTATGCTTCAGCAAAATGCCTTATCTCAAAATCAGTCTATTATTTTTGTTTCTTTAGTTTGGGGTAGAATTTTACCATGAAAGTAATACAAAGACTTAAACTCTAATAATATTAGTTATTAGTGTTTATCATGTGCCCTGCACTATTCTTAGCTTTTTACATATAGTGACTTCTATAATCCTCTGGCAAATCTGTGAGGTAGATACTAATACCAGCCCCATTTTGCCCGTGTGGAAATGGAGGTACTTATCTAGTAATTGGCCACCTGGAGTTTGAACCTAGGCAGTTTGTCTCTAGAGCACATGTGCTAAGTCTGATAGTTTTAAATTAATACACATGGGAGTATAGTATTTTATGGTTTCTGTTTGAATTTTTAGTTTCAGTATTTTCATATGCTCTACATGCAGTTTTCTATGGATAGAAAATTGTCATAATGATGCAGTTACTTTAGTGATAACAGAAGTTTAGCTATATTTTGCCAGCAAATTCCATAATGTGACCCAGTTCTCTTTTATTATATACTTTAAAATTTGTTATCAGTCCAACTGGCATGGCTCAGTGGTTGAGCATCAACCTGGGAACCAGGAAGTTATGGTTTGATTTCTAGTCAGGGCGAATGCCTTGGTTACGGGCTCATTCCTCATTATGGTGCATGCAGGACGTAGCTGATCAATGATTCTCATCATTGATGTTTCTATCTCCCTCCCTCTCTTTTACTCTCTGAAATCAGTAAAAATATATTTTTTAAAAAATTTGTCATCAATAACTGTAAGACCTCAGAAGTCTTTTTTTTTTTTTTTTTTTTTTTTTTACTTGATTTTATAGAGAGAGGAGAGAGAAACATAGATTTGTTGTTCCACTTATTTATGCATTCTTTGGTTGCTTCTTGTATGTGCCCTGACCAAGGATCGGACCCACAATCTTGAAGTATTGGGACAATGTGCTTTAACCAACTGGGCTACCTAGCCAGGGCTAACCTCTTTCTCGATTTTATTATTTCATTCTCTTTATTCTAGATTATCTTCCTTTGTACTCCCAGTCTGGCAGTTCTTTGACTTTGAAATCTCTGATCCATTAACCCTCCCACTTTCTTATTAATAATCAGCCCATTCCTGTCCTCACAGTCTTCCTTACTCAATATGGAGTCCATGACCTATCATTATGGATCCCTTGCAAACACCATTAACTATCTTTTCCTCCTCTCTTTCTATAATAGCTTGCTTAAGTCCATCTTTCTTCTTAACTCCTTGCTTGGCAAGCAGCTCAGTATTTCTAGAGAAAATCCACAAAGCCATGGTGACTAGTCTTTAATTCAGAATTAAACTGACATGATGATTTTCACCAATTTAGAGCTCATTTCAAATTTCCATTATGTTTTAAGGAAGCACCTCTGGATGGTAGACTTTGACTAGAGAAGTTCCAATGCTAATTACCCATTTTTGTATGAATAAATTATAAATTTTATAATAATTTTTTTTTAATTAATTTTGAAGGGAGAGGAAAGAGAGAGAGAGAGAGATACCTCATTTGTTGTTCCACTTATTTAAGCATTCTTTGTTTGATTCTTATATGTAATTTGACCAGGGTTCAAACCTGAAACTTGAGAGCATGACACTCTAATCAACTGAGCCTCCTGGCCAAGGTTCCTTTGTGTATTCCTGATGAGTGTGCTTTAAATTTTAACTAACCATGGGTGGGAGAAGGAGTATAAATAGAAAACACCTATTACTGTCTTTGGTAAGTTTACAGACAGTGTGACAGTAGGCAGCTCTGAAGTCAGTGGCCATGATTTGCCATTTTTTTGAAGTTTGGAATTGTGTGTAAGAAGGCTTCTCATTTTAGCAAATGAGAGAAGGCATAGAAAGATTGTGATATGAAAACAGTGTTAGGTGAATGAATGTTTTCTTTCTCTTTTGTACTCATTAGAGATTTGTGGTAGATATAGGAGGCTGGTGATTTGAGGACTGCATTGAAAGCAGGTATAGCCCCAGAGGAAAGATTGGAAAAGGATTGGGATTTGGAGCTGGTTTAGGAAGTGGGCTTCAGTTGGCTGAAAGTGAGCAAGGCTTAGATGTATTGTGAGAAAAGGGGCCTCCAGATCCCTCGGAGGTTTTTCATAGGTGGAATTGGTTAACCAGGAGAGGAATGTCTCAATACAATGTTCTTTACTGTTTTGAAATTTGAGAGAATCCCTTAAATTTTTAAAATTATGTGGGGAAATTATATACTAAGCAAGTGTGGTGTCTGCAGAAGTGTCTGAATGTATTTTTAGTTAATGTCCTGGTTTCATCTCTTACATTTGACTATAATATGACTATGTCATTGCTGGGTCTTTGAGTCATATGTTGCACACCAACTATAGCTTCATCTTTAATTATAAATTTATTAGAGGCCCATTGGATGGAGAGATTTGTGCAGTAGGCCTCCCTTCTTTTGGCTTCCAGCACCAGTTTTCCTTCAGCACCCAGGACCCAGGCCTTTGCTCCAGCCAACGTCTGCCATCTTTGTCTTTGCTGCTTCTCTGAAGACTTGGGCCAGAGTCTGCCATCTTGGTTTTTGCTGCAGTGCAGTCTTCATCTTTGCTGCACTGGAGTGCCACTCCTATAGATCCCTTCCCCCACTTCCCCCGGCCCTCCCTCTCATAGTAGGTCTCCTGCCCTGCCTGGCCACTCTGCACTTGGAGCAGCTGGGTGGCCGCCATCTTTATTCTAATTTGCATATTACCTCCTGATTGTCTGGTGGTGTAGTAGAGTGATGGTCAATTTGCATGTTTCTCTTTTATTAGTGTAGATTAGCCCTACCAAAATTGAGATAGACTTCTATTAAATTTCACTAGAATTATTGATGTTTAAATTCAGTTTGGAGGGATAATTTCTGCTGTTAACTAGTTCTTTATAGCCTTTTAAATTAATGAAAACCAAATTTTAAACCATCAAAGTATCCTGTTGCATTGTTTTTTTTTTAATATATTTTATTGATTTTTTACAGAGAAGAAGGGAGAGAGATAGAGAGCTAGAAACGTCGATGAGAGAGAAACATCGACCAGCTGCCTCTTGCACACCCCCCACCGGGGTTGTGCCCGCAACCAATGTACATGCCCATGACCGGAATCGAACCTGGGACCTTTCAGTCCGCAGACTGACGCTCTACCACTGAGCCAAACCGGTTTCGGCCTGTTGCATTGTCTTATTCAAGGAGACCTATCTTTATTTTGTAGCTAATGATCTTTCAAAGTACATTTAGATGTGGGTTTTTTTATTTTATTTTAATGACTTTTGAGCTTCTCATTGAAGATAGATATCTTTTTCTGTCAGTCAAGATAAACCTATGTTTGTAAATTTGTGATTTTTCTGAAATGGAAATCTGATCTTGTCACACCTTTGCTTAGAATTTTTTTGGCTGTATCCATTTCTGGGCTTCAATCCATTAGGATTAAGTTCAACTGCCTGTGCTTTCTTAGCATTAAAAACATTTACGGTATGATCTCATACATACCTTTTTCATTTTTATCTCCTGTCAGCTCCAACCTACTGATTTAACTTATTTTAAGAGATTACCAAGTGAACTTGTGACCTTGGCACTGTTCCTTTTACCTGAAACATCTTTCTTTGCTGTCCTCATGGCTAACTCATCCATTTTACCTTTGGATTACCTCCTGTCTTGGAAGCTTTTGACCCTAGTCAAATACTCTTACTCTGACCATCTTCTATATATTCCCATAAAACTTAATCATACCTACCAAGTACTTTAATTAGACTTCTTTTAAATTTCACACTAGTTTTTTAGAATATCTTTTAGTCATATTGTATTGTAATACTTGTCTTTCTTGTTTGTCTCCCTATTCTTTATTTTTCTTTTTGTTAATTCTTACTTGAGAATATTTTCCCATTGATTTTCTTAGAGGGAGGAGAGAGAGAGAGAGGAACATTGATGTGAGAGAGACACATCTATTGGTTGCCTCCTGCATGCTTCCGGTCTGGGACTAGGGAATGAACCTGCAACCCAGATACATGTCCTTGAGCAGAAATTGAATCCATGATCCCTGGATCCCCAGTCAGATGTTCTAACCACTGAACCATGCTGGCCAGGATTCATTTTTCTTAATGGTAATTTTTTTTGGTTTGTCATCTAGTTTTTTAAAATTAATTAACTTTTTTAAAGTTGCAATAAAATATATATAGCATAAAGTTGACCATTTTAATAATTTTAAGAGGATAATCCAGTGGCATTTAATATATTCACATCATTGTGCAATCATCACTACTGTCCCATCTCTAGAAATCTTTTCATTTTGCAAAATGGAATCTCTGTACCTATTTATAATAATAAAAGCGTAATATGCTAATTAGACCAGACATCTTTTGGGCGACCTTCCGGAAGAAGCCAGGGCTGCGAGAGAAGCCCGGGTCCTGGGTAATAGAGGGAAGCCGGTGCCAGCAGCCGGGGGAAAGAAGGACTACTCTTGCACAAAGAATTTCATGCATCGGGCCTTTAGTCCTGTACAATAAAAGCCTAATATGCTAAGTGTCCGGTCGACCAGTTGGCCGTTCAACCAAAGTGTAATCTATATCTATCTATCTATCTATCTATCTATCTATCTATCTATCTATCTATATAAAAGGCTAATATGCAAAGTGTCCTCTTGGGTGTTTGATTGCTCACTATGACGTGTGCTGACCATCAGGGTGCAGCACGGAACAAAGGAAGGGAGGCCCCAATCGGCCCTGATTGCTGGCCAGTTCTAGGGACCCTACCCATGCACAAATTTCGTGCACTGGGCCTCTAGTATGCTAATAATATGCTAAGGCCACTCAACCACTTGCTATGATGTACACTGACCACCAGGGAGCAGACAACTGGTCAACCAGTCGGTATGATGTGCACTGACCACCAAGGGGCAGACTTACTGACTGGTAGGTTAGCTTGCTTTTGGGATCTGGCCAATAGGGACTGAATGAAATGGGCCGGACACACCCTGGAGCCCTCCCGTGGTCTCTCCCCTCTGGCCAATCTCCCATGTTCCTCCCTGGCTTTGATTGTGCACCCCTGGGGTCCCTCGGCCTGCCCTGCGCCCTCTCGAAATCCGGGACCCATGGGGCATGTTGGAGAGCCAGTTTTGGCCTGATCCCACAGGCCAGACCACGGGTCCCCACGGATGCACAAATTCATTCACTGGGCCTCTAGTTACATAGTAACTCCCCATTCCTATATCTTCTCAGCCCCAGCAGAGACTTTCTGTCTCTCTCACTTTGACTTTGTCCTTTTATGACTGGCTCATGGTCCATCTGTATGATAGCAGGTATGTATGTAGCATATTGATGGTAGTTCTTTTATCTCTGTCCTTCTAGTACCTAGCAATTTTGGCCTAAAGATGTATTTCAGTGAATGATTAGGTAAATATGTACATCATGGAAGCAGTGCATTGGTATGAAACGAGCTATTGGGAGACTTGTGTTCTAGTCATGGCTCTTCTATTGATTTTTCTCTTTCATGGGTAAATACAGTATCTGTTCATCTTATGTTAAATGATGATACCAACCACTGCATAAGACTTTTGAGATGGTTAAGTGAGATACAGAGGTCCTTATTATCAGAGCTCCCAAGGTACAAGGTTGCTACAGTGTGGCAAAATATTCACTAATGAATTAATCTCTGATAGAATTAGTCCTCGCTCAGATATGTTAGTTCTCTATCTCAAACTGCCCCATCTGTAGCTTTCTGGAATTATGTCTTTTGATTCAGGTTGCATACTGACTCAGGGTGAAATTATACAACTTGCATACTTGCTTGATTTTGTCTATACATCTAAGGATAAAAAGGGATTTGGAGATTAGATAATCAGAAGTGCCATCTCAATGAAAAACAATCAGGCCCCTCAGTTGATTTGATTAACCAGCATCTGCTTGAAACACTTTCAGTGACTAAAAACTCATGTGTTGAAACAGTCATTTCAATTGGAAAATTTTGTTAGAAGTTTTTTCTTAGTGTTAAGCTGAATATTTTTATTTCTATGCATTAGTGCTGTGCAGCTGATGGTTCTAATCCTTCAACTTGACAGCTGGATCAGTCAAGATAATCTTGGTTTTCCTGCCATAATAAATAATCTCTAAATTCAGAAGTTTTTAAATAAATCCCAGTTTTTATTTCTCTGTTTACACTTTATGACTTTCTGCATGTCCATTGTGGATTTAGAGAGGGGGATTCTTCTCATGAATCTCTCAAGGACCCCAGGCTGACAGGGAAGCCATCACCTCAAATGTGGCAGAAAAAAAGAGCTTTGAAAGGTCTCCACTATAAGTAAGTGTTCTTGCAAAGAAATGACACTCCTTCTACTAATATTTCATTGGCCAGAACTAGTCCCATGGTCCATATCTAACCACAGGGAATGGGGAAGGATAGAAAGTGCAGCTCTACCAAGTCCCCAGAATACTTGATGAATGGCACTAATGACTTATCACACAATCTCATTTTATATTTTATTTTTTATTTTTTTAAAATATATTTTATTGATATTTTACAGAGAGGAAGAGAGAGGGATAGAGAGCTAGAAACATCGATGAGAGAGATACATCGACCAGCTGCCTCCTGCACACCCCCCACGGGGGATGTGCCCGCAACCAATGCACATGCCCTTGACCGGAATCGAACCTGGGACCTTTTAGTCCGCAGGCCGACGCTCTATCCACTGAGTCAAACCGGTTTTGGCTCATTTTATATTTTAAATCTTCACCTGAGAATATGTTGAGAGAGAGAGAAGAGAGAGAGAGAGAGAGAGAGAGAGAGAGAGAGAGAGAGAGAGAGAGAGAGAGAGAGAGAGACACGAACGAACATACCAGTTGGTTGCCCTCTGTACATGCCCTGATTGGGGATCGAACTTGCAACCTTTTGGTATACTAGATGATGCTCCAACCAACTTAGTCACTTGGCCAGGGCATTACACAGTCTTTTAAGAATTTGGAGATATATCATGTCTTTGTATTCCTTTCTTGCCTATAAGAATTTTAGTATTTCAACTTATCATGATATGATTTCTAATTCCCTAAGCTCTCTAGACACACTACAGTTTGTTTGTTTTGTGTGTGCGTGTGTGTGTTGTTGCTGAAGGGTATTGTTCAGAAGTGAACACAGTATTTCTGTATTCTTTTTGGAATTTGGCCAGGAAGATTTTTTTTCCTTCTTTTTGGCAGTCTAAAATCAGACAGTATTAAACCATACTGTGTTCAAGTTAGTTCAGTAACTATGTTCTGTAGATGTGGACTTAATTGTATCCTGTGGTTTAAGATAGCTGTAGTATAGTAGGAAACAGATTGAAATTTTAAGACTTCAAATACTGACTTTTAGGATCTGTGTCACACAGGGCATGTTGCTTAGTTGTCCTGAGTCTATTTTCTGATAATATTTATCAAGATTGATGAGAATGTGAGCAGAGGTGTTTTTATGGACTTTATTTAAAGTGATATTAAGATACTAAGTGTTGCTAAGAAACACTCCTTTGCTTCTTTTCTCTTAGGTTTATCATAATTCATTAGGAACTCGCTTGAATGTTGAAGTTCATATGTGAATACATATGAAATAGTAAACATATATTACAGTCGTTGTGAGGGTAGATCATCGTCACAAACATTTTTATATTGTTATTATAAAAAGTCAAACTGATGTGCTGCCTCTCATTTGCAGGTAGGGTTCTTTCACAGTCTACTCCTGGGACTCCATCAAAGACCATAACAATAACTGAAAGTGGTGTTATTGGATCAACTTTGAATTCTACAACACAGACACCAAATAAAATAGCCATCTCACCTTTGAAATCGCCAAATAAGGTAAAAAAAAATTTAACCACAAATGCCAAGTATTGTGGCCAACGCTTTTATTTTTTATAATCACTTCAGATACCTTTGGTTTTAATACATTCCCAAGCAACTGAATAGACATTCAGTTAAATACTGGGTTAATTTAGTAATCAAGGATATATGGCATAAAACACGTATTCTAAACACATAGTAACCTAGTAATCTTTTTATATGCTAAGAAGATTTTCATGGCCTATAAATATGGGTACAACAAAGCTCTTTTAATTGTGGTACATTATGTGTTTAGCTCTTGTTAATATTTGTGCAAATTACTATCTTTGAGTAAGTTACATGTATGTATAATGACATATAAATCTAAAATGTTTAATATAACTTTTAAAAAATATATTTATTTTTATTAATTTCAGAGAGGAAGGGAGAAGGAGATAGAGATAGACATCAGTGATAAGAGAGAATCATTGATCGGCTGCCTCCTGCACGTCCCCTGCTGGGGACTGAGCCGGCAACCCAGGCTTGTAGAATCGAACCTGGGACCCCCTCAATCTGCAGACTAATGCTCTATCCACTGAGCCAAGCTGGCTAGGGCAATATAATTCCTTTTGATAAAATAATCTGCATCTTCTGCTTAAGCTGTTTTATGGAGAGCTGAACTTTTGATGAGTAACAGAGTACACAGAGTACTAGAAACGACATCAAATGCTGGAACCATATCAAAGTTTTGAAGCTTATGTGCAGTTCATTCAGAGCATTTGAAAGCTTTTCATAATTTGTTTTATATTAAGGTGGCAGAGCACCTATCATTTTACTCTTAGGTCAAGTAAGCAATCTTAGCTCACTTTCTTAAATTATACATATTTCATTATACCACCATGACATTTTGAAAAGATAAGTTTTAAAGGACAAATTCAGTTGGAAACCCAAACATTATTATTCTGTAAGGTACCACCCTTGTGTTTCTGAAAACATACTACACTTTGTATCTGCCCTTTTCCTTAATTTGTTACTGTTTATAAATAGAACAAAAGTTAACATTTTCCTTACATTTTTTAAAAAGTCTAGCTCCTGGTTTCTTGACTGTAATATATAAATATGATGTTTCTTACAGTTTATTAAAATGGAATTCTACCTGCATAATAATTTAGATAATCATTTACTTAAATGGAATTAATTCAACAGATATTTGAATACCTCTGCATAGTGATAGGAACTGGAGATAGAAACATGAATCAGCCGAGACTGGTTTGGCTCAATGGATAGAGCATCGGCTTGGGGACTGAAGGGGCCCGGGTTCGATTCTGGTCAAGGGCATGTACCTTGGTTGCGGGAATATCCCCAATAGGGGATGTGCAAGAGGCAGCTGATCGATGACTCTCTCTCATTGATGTTTCTAGTTTTCTATCTCTCTCCCTTCCTCTCTGTACAAAATCAATAAAATATTAAAAAAATGGATATAAAATTCCATTAAAAAAAAGATACATGAATCAGATAAGTTTTTAATTATAAGTAATTCAATAGGAAAATTATATTTAAACATTAAGAATTGCTCTGCAGAATCATTAACTTTCACAGGTGTATTGATGAACTCTATTGTGTGTGTCAGGGAAGGTTTGTACAAAGGAGGCTATTCTTGAAAGGTATTAACCTTAAAGGTGGCTTGGATCTTAGTTATAGGTGAGCAGAGAAGGTCTTATGGATTGAGGTAATACATAAAAATCTAAAAGTGTGGCCCTTTCAGGGAGCCGAGATGCTTTGGTATTGTGAGAATGGAGGGTGCTAAAGTTAATAGAAAGTCATTACCTTCAGGGGAATTTAGATATTGTTATTTTTTACAATATATTTTATTGATTTTTTACAGAGAGGAAGGAGAGGGACAGAGAGTTAGAAACATCAATCAGCTGCCTCCTGCACACCTCCTACTGGGGTATGCCCGCATCCAAGGTACATGCCCTTGATCGGAATGGAGCCTGGGACCTTTTAGTCCACAGGCCAATGCTCTATCTACTGAGCCAAACTGGCTATTTTATTATTCTTAGAGACTTTCTGTTGCTTCCCATTGTTGCTAGGATAGTGGTTCTCAGCCTTGTCTGCAAATTAGAAATCAGTGCCTGGTTCTTATCTCTAGAGACTTTGTTTTAATTGGTCCAAAGTTTGGCCTAGAACCAGAATTTTTGAAAGCTCTCTAAGTTATCCTAAACTACTCCTTTAGGATAATATGAGGCTTACATTTTATTTATTTATTTATTTATTTATTTATTTATTTATTTATTTATTTTTAATATATTTTATTGATTTTTTACAGAGAGGAAGGGAGAGAGATAGAGAGTTAGAAACGTCGATGAGAGAGAATCATCAACCAGCTGCTTCCTGCACACCCCCCACTGGAGATGTGCCCGCAACCAAGGTACATGCCCTTGACCGGAATCGAACCTCTCAGTCCACAGTCCGATGCTCTATCCACTAAGCCAAACCGGTTTCGGCGAGGCTTACATTTTAAAAAAGATGAATCTTAAAACATTATGAAAGATAGTTTAGAGGAAGGTAAGCCTAGATCCTGCGAGAGATACCAATTATGTTAGCAATTCTCAACCTTAGCTGCATTTTGTAGGACCTGGAGACCACTTGAAAAAACTAATGGCTGGATCCCATTTAAATCAGAGTGTCTATGCTGGGACCTAGGAATTAAACTTAATATTTTAAAATTCTAAAGTTGAGGAAAGAGTAGAGAATCACTAAGTTAAATTATTATAGTACTTCAAATATGAGCTTGACTAGTAATTAAGGAGCTAGGGAGGAAAAGATGTGTTGAAAGAGGTTCAAGACATAATGACTGGATGTTAAGGTCTTATTCCAACATTCCTGACTTGAATAACAGAGTAGATGGTAGTATTGGACTAATATGCCTGATATATGGGCTGTGCCTGATAGCATAAAAATAGGAACTAGCTATTTTCTCTCATCCTTTATTATTATTTTTTAAAATATATTTTAACTAGAGGGCCAATGCATGAAATTTGTGTAAGAGTGGACTCACAGCTGCGGCGGCTGCCTGGATCCCTCCCTCACAGCCACAGCCTCGGCTTCATCTGAAAGGATGTCTGGTCTAATTAGCATATTATGCTTTTATTATTATAGATTAATTTCAGAGAGGGAGGGAGAGGGAGAAAAAGATAGAAAGATCATTGATCGACTGCTTTCTGCACGCCCCACACAGGGGATGGAGCCCACCATCCTTGATTCCAAGTCAAGGGCATATGCCTGTGTTATAAGCTTGATACCCAGTGGGGGGTATGCAGAAGGCAGCTGATGGATGTTGTCCTCTCACAGTGATATTTCTCTCCCCCTTTCCCTTTCTCTCTCTCTAAAAATCAATGAAGTGTTCTAATTTTTTTTTTCTCTTTTGTACTCAGTTCTGAAGGCAAGAACTTTGATGATCTGGTGTTAACATTGGTACCCCAAAACCTGGATTCACTAAGAATGAGAGAACTCATAGATAGGGGCAGTAGGGTGATTGTGAGGGTCTGTAGGTGGTTGGATGGAGATAGAGGAGAGTATAGGGGGGATAAATGGTAATGCAAAAAAAACAGAGGAAAAAAATAACTAAATAGATGTTTGATAAGTCACATGAGAAGATCACTACTGATCAGAGTATAAATTAGTATAAAAATTCATTGGTTCTGTTTTTAGTTCTGTGGAGTTTGCTAGTGGATCCATTGAAGGACTTTTTCACCTCTGGTAATTGTATTTATTTTATTTTCATTTGAATCTTTATATCTTATAGTTTCTGTCTCTTGATGTTATCTTCTTTCTCACTAGGTTTTTTAATATTTTAAAGTCCTTACCTGATGGTTGCAACATCTAGTTCATTTCTGAATCTTGCCTTTCATTTTATTATTAGAATAACTATCTGATTGTCTTTTGTTATTGTTGTTTTTTAAAATATGTTTTTATTTATTTCAGAGAGAGAAAGGGAGAGGGAGAGAGAAATATCAATAATGAGAATCATTAATCAGCTGTCTACCTCACACACCCTACTGGGGATCCAGCCAAAACCCCAGCATGTGCTCTGACCAAGAATCAAATTGTGACTTCCTGGTTCATGGGTCGAAATTCAACTACTGAGCCACACCAGCATGCTGGGTGTTGGTTTGTATTTTAATTTTTGCAATTTTACGCTTATACACGTCTGGGGCAAACCATATTCTATTCATAAAAATAGGTGACTTAGCAAAGAGAGAGAAGCTGGGCTGTTGATTTATATAAAATCTGATCTAAAGGCTTCAGGATTGTTGAATTTTTGGATAACTGAAGTTTAGGAAAAGTAAAGGTTACTTAGGATGGTGAACACAAAATACAATATATACATATGATGTCTTATAGAATTGTACGTTAAAACCCAAATGATTATATTAACCAATATCACCCCAATAAAGTCAGTAAAAAAAAATTCCTAATTATTAGAGGGGGGAAATAAAAGAAAGGTAAAGATTCACAGAGCTTGGGTTCTGGATAATTAGATAAAAGAAGCAATGGTCAGAAATCGTGAAACACTTTTTTTTCATAAATTTGGTCTTGAGAGTTAGTAAATATTCCTAAAATGTAAGGCCTGTCAACACTTTATGTGATGTTGATGGCTACTTTTTCTTTTCCCACTTAATGTATTTCTTTTTTTTAATTTTATTTTTCAATTATGGTTTATATTCAACATTTTATATTAGTTGCAGATGTAATTTTTTCTTTAATGTTTTAATAATGGACATGAATACATCTTCCAAATGTCTTACTCATTACTTTTGAGAGTCTATGCAAGTTATCCTGGACATTCTTGAATTCACTTCATGTACACCTTTTTCAGTTTTGCTTTCTGACCCAGGGAAGTGAATACTCCTTTTTTGGGTGGGTGGGGGTGAGTGGGGGTGTGTGTGGGAAGGCTTTTATTTGGCAAGCAAATCTTTCTTGTTTGCCCTGTCTGTGGTAAGTAGTTGAATCACCACATAGTTATTTAGCATGCA